GACGAGCTGGAATGAGAAGAATCAATGAGCTTCTAGGGATCTCTAATGGCTTTTAAAGTCCTGTTATCTTTTCCTTTCATTTCCTATTTGTGACTTTTGTTTTTCTTTTTTTTTTGGTTTTATTTTTTACAGGGCCACTTTTGGGCCTTATCTATGTATATATCTTTTATTTATGGGCAAATTACAGAAATTATATACTTTTAAGGTAAAATTACAATTTATCTGTTAAAAGTTTATAATTACAGAAATTCATCAAAGGGATACAATAATATAAGTGCTGATACTATAATTTGATGCGCGAGATACATTAATCGTTAAGTAAGATACATTACATTTTATACATGATACACTAATCTGATGCGTGAGATACACTAATTTGATGCGCAAAAATGAGGGATTTTGGAGATTTGTAAAACTTATAGGAAATAATGATAATAAATAAACTAAAATGTGGAATTTTTGTAATTTTTCCTTTATTTATTCTTTTAATTAATGAGCATCTTTTGCCCTCCTTTATATTAAAAAATAAAAATAAAAAAATTACCACGGTGGCTTTCCAAACAGCCCCCCTACACCCAAACCCACTCCCATGCTTTATCTTCTTTCTTTTTTCACATTCTATGAAGTACTCTTCACATTGCTATACAAAATTTCTTCAACAATCTTGGTCTTTAAATCTTCTTACTTATCACTTGTCAATTAAAGTTTCTAAAAATAATAATAATTCTTTGAGTAAAAAATCATATCAAACAAAAAGAAATCTCCATTTAACAAACATGAAAAACAAATACAAACATGAAAAACAAATACAAACATAATCTATTTTCATCAGCATTACACACATAATCTCATACAACATTGTAGATATTGAAATTTCATGGGACTCTACAAGATGTGTTCAATTCGAGTTGAGATTTCTTGAAAACACACTTCGAATATTTCACAAATTCATGAAATATTAATAAGGAGATCAAATTCAAATCATCCTAGTTCTAGAAATACACCACAAATGACCCTCGAATCATGAATAAATATCTTACAAGAGAAGAATCAAGGGAGAAATAGATTTATACTCACAATCTTGATGAATAAAATTATGTTTCTTCATATTTTATTTGTGATTGCATTTTATTTTTTTGTCACTTTAAAATTTGTTGCAAACAAACATCTTCAACTCCTTTAACCCCCTACATTGATGTTATATTATATACTAATAAACAACATACAAAATACAAACAAGACCTAAAAGTAACGGGTATCTTCAAAACAGAGCATAAAAATTCAATTTGATCATAATTTTTCACAGCTAAGAGATTCTGATTAATTGTATTAGAGAAAGAAGAAAAAATTGAATTACATTAAAATTTTGAATTGAGTCATAAATCTATGGAGTAAAGTGTGTAACAATGGAAGAAGTAGTTGAAAAACCAATTGAACTATTTATATGTCGCCGTTGGGGAGAGCTTCTTCTGGCCATAGAGAATACTTCCACTCATCGGAAAAATCCCTTGTTCTTTCTCTTGCCGGCAGGTTAACAACGACGAGTAGGTTGGATTTGGGGATGATCTTGTCATGGGGTATAAAGAGATTTTTGTAATGGGTATAAAATTAAAGAGTGATGTCATCGGGTATAAAGAGATGTTTCTAATGTGTACAAAATAAAAGAAAAGAGAAAAAAGAAGTAGAAAATAATAATAAATTTATTGTCTTTATTATGTGGTGCTGACGTGGCATTAGCACAACATTGATGTGGCATTGACGTGGCGTGCATGTGTATTACACCACAACATACATAATTGATTATGACATTTTAGGGTGAAATTAATTATAATTTTAAAATGTTCATGGGATAAAGTATAAGTGTCTAGTTGGAAATCCGACAATAAGTTAATGGGGCTTTTGGCCAATTCCTCTTATATTATATGTATTTGCTCGTATAAATTCATGGATTGAAAAATAAAAAAAATCATTACGTAAACATAGTATTTTGTGAAAATCAATTTCTAAAACTTATATCACTATCTTCAAAAGAAACAAAAAGAAGAAAAAAAATCATGGATATTTATGTTGGAAGAAGATGAGTCATATCACAAGGAATTATGAACCAAATCTAACTTATGTTCGTTTTCTAATTTTCTTATCTTATGAGTTTAATTAACTTATTTATTAAAACGTGTGTATTTATATTTTAAAATTAGAAAGAGTCGCCACTTTTACTGATTCAAAAGATCACATTCCTTTAAATAAAGTGTTTTAATTTTTTTTAATTTTTTTTTGTATAAATTAAGTGTTTAAGTTATTTAAAACTGATGAAAGATAAATTACTAAAACATCATATTACTAATTTTTACTTAATTTAGTAAAAAGACATTTTAGTAATTTGACTTTTGAATTAAAAAGTTTCCACTTTTAATACAATATAATAATATATAATATAGTATAATATAGAAATATATTGATGTTAACATATAAAAGATATTTAAAATTGTTTATAAGAAAGTATTATGCCATGTGTATATAATAATTATGTATGTAGTTTGTCGGTTCAATTATTTTTGCGGTTTTTTTTTAATAAAATCAATTCCTAATCAAATATTATCGGGTTTTAAAAATATAACCAAAATCAAGTCAAATCCAAATAAAATCAATTTATTTGATTCAAATTTTTCGATGTAAATTCATTTTTACTCAAATCTTGAACACTAAGGGTGTGTTTGGTATGAAGGAAAATATTTTTCGGAAAATGTTCTCCAATTTTCTCATGTTTGGTTGGGTAAAATGTTTGCCAAATCAACTCATTTTCCTCAAATTTAAGGAAAAATGACTTCCCCTTAAAAAAATTAAGGAAAAACATTTTCCAAAAACTCTCTTCCAACTTTATATTACAATTTTTTTGTTGAAAAAATAAATTTAAAGCTTATTTTTAAAAAATATTTTCAACTTCAATTTTTTTATTTTTTTACCCCACCCTCAACCTACCCCCAAAAAAAAATTAATTTATTTTTAAAAATATCTCCAATTTCAAATTTTATTTTCACCCCACCCCTACCCTCGACCCCTCCCC